CAAAAATTGAGCTAATTTATTAAAGTTGAATAGTAGCTTTCCTAACAGACCAGCTTAGCTCTTATACTCCACTGTTTATTGCAAAGATTTTGACTGTGAATTTTAAATTTCCTTCCATGAATAGTTTGAAATAATTACCAAGTTTTCCATTATTCACGGCCCCATCCCATTCCACAGGTAATTGGCTACTTTCCCTCTCATATGGTCTACTTAACTTAACCAAGTACAGAAATCATGTTAAAATTACTTTCTGATTCTGTTGTAGACTTGAAGTGGGACTTGAACATCTTAAAATTTGCATATCTCATCTAACTAGATTAGATAATCTTATAAAAGATGTTCCTCTTTACACGCCATTCATTCTTTTCATATTTTTCACTCAAATATGGTGGTTGTAGTGTTAATATTTCTCTACTCAGTGATGTTCATGAGAACGAACAAATGGCTAGAGGTATCAAAGGGTGCAACTAAAGTGAAAGAAAATTTTGTTGCAGCAGGTACATATAGGCAAAATATTATTTTTCAGAATTTCCTCCATTCTCAAAATGCTCATTTGTATGTCAGTTTGTGAAATGATAGTCAGTAATATAATATGTATCATACCGAAGAAGAGGAAAGTTCATTAGAATCAGCTACATTTACATTTTAATAAGTAAATATAATTATTTCCTATATTATTATTATGATTGGCTGCCAGGCATTTGTTCCAAGAACAGGATCTCTAAGGAACATTGTCAATAGACAAATAATAGAGTGAGTTGCAATAGTTCTGTGGTTTGTATCTGTTTTTTTTTCATAGCTTCCTATGCAAAGACAGACAAGAGAGGCAACACTGAACACAAGACTATTTAACAAGCCAACTTGCCTCAGGGTGTTACACTCTAAGGGTTCCACTAAAGCAAATCTGTTCGTAGGGAAGAGATCTCAAAAACTATACAATCCTCATTATACAGTTTATTATACAGAGGGCGGGGAGATGTTACATGGCACACGGATGAAAAAACCACACAAAAAAAATTTTTTCTACATACTACCATACAACTAAGTTGGGAATTTTCTTTCCTTGGTTCCTGTTTCTATTAATCTCAGCATGGCTATAGCTGCAGTAGAATTACATTAACTTTAGGTTTGCTTTCCAAATATACAGGGTACCTGGCTATACCAGTTTCTATGTTGTATTTTAAAGATTTCTGCTGTATGAAAAAAAAAATCCAGCAACTTCTGTTGGAGATTTTTATATCCTATTGCATCTTGAACATGCCTAGATCTGGCATTCCTGATGCAGTTATAAGAGATCAACAGACAAACCAGGAGTGTCGGTACAACAGTGAGAGTCAGGTCAGAAGCTGAAAGCAACGTTATGAGGCTATCGCTGGCACAAATGAGGCCACATCTGAGGTCTTGTGATGTGACCTAGATATTAAGGGCAAACTCTACCATTTTAAGTGCTTGCAGCTGTATTTCTGAAAAATATGATTTCTGGAGAGTAAACATGAGCAGTTGCAAATGTTCAGACATATTACTTGTGGCAGGACAACATATGCTAGGCCTAGAAGAGTGCTATAAATGTCCTGCCAGCTTCACCCACAAGCACTCACTTCAGAGTTCTCATCTGCATGATTGTAAACACAAGAAGTCTAACATAGCTTCCACTGAAACCAAACTCTGAAAAAACTCTACATATGTTAAAAAGGACAGTCAATCTGAAATTACGCTCAAACAAATCTTGATTTATTCTATCCTTGATTTATTCTATCCTCAGTTGGCCCCTCAAAAAAACGTATTTATCAAAACAGTTTGTCATCAGTAAGACAGAAGACTAGCCATTAAACTATTCAAGTGACAGCATGGCCTATTTTTGTCATCAGTAAAATAAGCTTCATTACTAGCTTTACCAAATGCTATCTAAATTATTCTGTCCATAGTGTCAAACATTAGTCTTACACAGAGTGGGTAGGATTGGGATGACCTGGCTAACTTAATTTCCAAATAGTACTATTGAGGGAAAACAACCACATCACTTGGAAGTATTTACTTGGATTTACAACCTACTTTTTCCTCTTCATAAATTTAGGTATCAGTAAGAGTAATAATATACCAGAAAGTATGTCGTCCAGAAAATAACCACACCTCTCAGAAGCTGGAGGCAATGAGATTTCAGTTCAGCTGTGCTCTCCATCATAGACAGTTGCCTCTTAGATGTCTCAAGATGTGTTAACTTGCAATCACACTTCTTATTTCCTGAAGCAACAGGGATCATACAATTGCTATTTTTAAAAAGACCAACTTAACAAATCAGGCCGTGTCTAACACTAATGTGGCTGGATGGAAGAAGTAAAGACTGTTTGCATGTATGTTTGTGTGAGTGGGGTACCCATGCAACCCATTGAGCTGTCCCAGGGCCACAGTTGCATCTGGTTGGTTAATGATACGGAGTCGTCATACAGTTTCAACAGTATCATCCAAGGCCTGTCTTGAGCTTAGGTAGCCTATTTGGCTGTCACAGGAAGGGCACGGCAAAGTTCAGTCCCTCTGTCACATGTCATTGCCCTATCTACTAGGGTATCCCACCAGAGAATATCACACTGAATTGCACAGAAGAGGAGCAGAGAGGAGGCACTTACCTGTTATACATCAAATATACATTGGAGGAACAACAGAAACAAGAGAAGCAGTAAATTGCACAAGACATCCTTCACAACCCCCACAATCCATCAGATGAACATCAGCTACCCTCTACTTGATGACACCAAGCTGTGTGGGTTGGTTGAAACGCTGGAGGGATGGGATGCCATCCAGAGGGACCTTGACAGGTGGGCCTGTGTTAACCTCATGAAGTTCAACAAGGCCAAATGCAAGGTCCTGCACCTGGGTCGGGGCAACCCCAGGCACAAATACAGGCTGGGTAATGAATGGCTTGAGAACAGCTCTGAAGAGAAGGACTTGGGAGTGTTGGTGGACAAGAAGCTGAACACGAGCAGACAATGTGTGCCTGCAGCCCAGAAGGCCAACCATATCCTGGGCTGCATCAAGAGAAGCGGGGCCAGCAGGTCGAGGGAGGGGATTCTGCCCCTCTACTCCGCTCTCGTAAGGCCCCACCTGGAGTACTGTGTCCAGTTCTGGAGCCCCCAACACAAGAAAGACATTGACCAGTTAGAACAAGTCCAGAGAGGGGCCACCAGGATGATCCAAGGGCTGGAGCACCTCTCCTATGAGGACAGGCTGTTCAGCCTGGAAAAGAGAAGGCTCCGGGGAGATCTTATAGAGGCTTTCCAGTACCTGAAGGGGCTACAAGAAAGCTGGGGAGGGACTTTTCATAAGGGCAGTTAATGACAAAACAAGGGGAAATGGGTTTAAAGTGTTTAAGGCCATGTCGGATGAGGCTTTGAGCAACCTGGTCTAGTGGAAGGTGTCCCTGCTCATGGCAGGGGGGGTGGAACTAGATGATCTTTAAGGTCCCTTCCAACCCAAACCATTCTATGATTCTATGATTCTATGATTTTACGGTGATTTTAAAAGGCTTCCTAGCGATATTAATGTCTTAAATCTGCTGCTTCACTTCTCTTTAAAGGAAAAGTGTGGGACTTAAGTGATGCATTTACATTGCTGCTTAAAATGCTATATTGTGAAGCATTTATATTAATTTTAAACCAAAATATATTTCTTTAGTAGATATAGGTCAGACTTAACCAAAGCTATCAGATCAGAAAGATAGCTATTTATTAGGTATTAAATGCTTAGTTTTCCCTAGGCCAGAAATGCCTTCTCCTTCCTATTTTTTAGATTAATTTAAAAAAAATCACAATAACTAACTAACTAACAGTTTTTCTAAAAATGAAAAGAGATAAAACAAGGCTATGGACAATAACAGATGTCTTGTTATTATCTCAACATATTTGTTACGGTGTACTAACAATATACAAAAATATCTTCACTTGTCTTTTATGGTTTTTAATTAATATTAACTTTCAGTCTTTCTTACATCCGAAGATACCACAGATTGTAAAAGGTTAGTACGTCTCACAGTCATTTGGGGCCGAAAAAGAGGAAAAAATAAAGCCAAGTGAAGAATTATATGTGTTCCTGACTTAAGCCAGCCAAATGGGAAGAAAGTCTCTTGAGAATGACTGTCCAGTGTTCTGCAGTCTACTCACAGTGGTTTATGATGTTTTGGTGAATATATATAAAATTTAAATGAAAGAGCTTGAGAATTTTTCAGCTGGGAGTGTTATTCCCATCTCCTAGTTATCAAAACTCTCTACCAGATTTCAGTACCATGTAATACATACTGCCTCTCCTTACATTCCCACAAAAATTTCTGAATGTATAAAGCTGTATCTCTTTATCTTACAATTCAGAATGTAATTCATCTGGAAGGCAGTATTCCACCTACTGAGATCCATTTACTGCTCTTGGCCTACCAAAGAATTACTGATAATTTGAAGACAGCTGGCTCCCTCTCAGCACTCAAAGCTTTCAGCTATTTCTACAGATATCTTGGCTCCTGTGCTTCAAGCAAAATCTGGTGGCCTTAAAGAGCCAAACAAGGAAACAAGGAGGACAAAGTCTAGCTATCACATATAAAGAGGAGGAAAAATGAGCTGCCCTGAGGAGTTACCCAAACACCAGTAGAGAAACAATGTCTTTGGAAACAAGAAAAAAATGCAGCAGCATGTTCCCCAGCTAAGCAAGAAGAACAGAGATATAGATAACACGGACAGTGTAACAAGATGCAAGGAAGTAAAAGACCAATAAGCTGGGCAAAGGAAAGGGAGAAGTAGACAGTGAAAAATAAACTCTAAAAGTGCAATTAATTTTCTTTTACTAAGTCAAATTTAAAGATGAACACCAGAAAATAAAAAAGCACTTTTACAAAAATGAACATATTAACCTATTCAAATCAACATGGATGAAACATGAAGTATAACATTCATTAACTAAAAAAAAAGCCCAACATACAAATCCGTATATAAGGATATGTCGGCAATTTAAGCACTTACGGGCTCTCCCCGATGTCCTTCTAAGCCTGGAGATCCAGGCTGTCCGACTTCTCCCTTTAAAATAAAAAGACTATTAAATACAATACTAAAAAATACCATCCTTTGTATAATAAAATAATTATTTAAAATAGTGAATTATTATTTTTAATATAAGTAAAATGTAAAACCAGTACATCTGCCTGAGAAGGCTTCATCAAACAAACATCTCTTTAAAACAGTTTCAAACACAGTAAGAAGTGTTGTCAATCCAATATTCCCTCATACTGCATCCAATAATCAGCTGTCAAACAGTTTGCAAGAGATGAGACAATCATCTTTTGAATCAGAACAGCAAATACTGGTTGAAGAAGCGCATAAAATAGTAACAAATTGCTATTCTCTAATTGTTGGTACAATAGCCTAAAAACGACTTTAAAGCACTCCAGAATACAGCAGTACCAGATTTGATCAAATCTTTATGCAAAATATGCATGACACCAAAAATATTCTAAAAATTTGAAGAATTCATCCAGAAATAAAAGTCTCTAAAACAAATGCAAAGATCAATTAATATATATATAAAATAATCTGGCAATAATAAACTTAAAATTACAAAAACTGGACTTCAAGTAACAATGGATAGCATCTGGGTTTCAAGTCATGCTTTTTTTCCACATACTTTACCAGAATAAATATTGTAAGAAAACAGGAAAGCTCTAGCAGAAATTTCCCTCAAAGACAGCCTGTTTGTTACTGCTCTGAAGCTGATTACAGACCCAGAATGAAGCAATGTTTTATAGTAAGCAGATGTTGAAGTCAAGCTGACAAAACACTTGAATGAAGAATATGGCTTCTGTTAACTAATATACTATAAAAATGAACAAAAACCTGAGTATGTCATATTTCTGTACTACAATAATTAAGAAAATAGTAAAGAAAATGTCTTTCAGTTTAAATGTACACAGGTTCACACAACTAATATACTGAATTATCTGTATATTGTTTACAAGCATAAAACCAGATCAAAGTACTCTCCAAATTCATACTTTACCAACACAATACTTCACTCTAAAGGACCACCAGTGACAGTTTAAATTTTATGTTAAACAACTGTGACTATTACCTGTCCATGTTCTCAAAATCTAATATCTAATTATTTTTTTCTGCTTTCTATAGTACCAGAGAAGGAATTTCTCCACCAGCTTACCAGAGATATCTTGTGTGTCTGTGTATACATGTATACATTGAAAATAAGGCAGGATTCATTTGAAATAATTCATGTAGGTAACTAAGGTCCTATCACAGCCAACAGAAGTCTAGTCAAGATTGATGGAGGCTTGATTCAGCTGACCAGCCACCAGGAGCTCAATGTCATTACCCACACATAGACAACTTGTCATATTTGAGATACCCAAGGGTGTCTTGTCTGGATTCCCACTCCCACTCCAGAAAGGCATTGGCTTTCCATAGGACTTATATTTGTCAGCTCCCTTAGAATGCTTTGGACATTAATGCATCTCAAATGCACCAGATGCTTTTATGCAAAGCATAAATCTGCCTTCTTTGAGCTGAATTGCTCTCCAGACTCCACTGGGATTACTGGTTAGACCTCCATTGACCTTAATGGCAACATAGGTATCTACTACATCCATAGACACAAACTTAGCTGAGTGTTTTTAGAATGTCTGTTAAATTGCCTTTGCCTGACATATTTGCAAGTGTCAGAGATACATGCTCTTGTAGATATATACTAATAATGACAATTTGTGGGCAGGTATCAATGGAATTTGAAGACTAAAATTAAATGAATGCAGGAGTATTTAAAACTAAACCACGTAACAACTAAAAAAAAGTCCTTCAGTATCATAGCAACAATCTGCTATTGGTTGCTAAAGTTAACTTCAGAAAAATGAGCAATAAGAAAGGGTTTTTTCCATAATTAAGATTTACAACTTCTTTTACTAAGGTATTTTAAGGGTGCAAACTTAAGGGCAGCTTAAAAAAAGCAGTACACCAATCTGACATAAAATAAAGTTACTCCATTACCTTTTAGCACAGTTTCATTAGGCCTTCCAAAGAGAACAAATAAAATAGGAAATATTGAGTTTACCTACCATAAAAGTTGAATTTTATATGTAGTTTTTAAAGGTTGATATTTCAGATGTATTGTCCTAATAAATTTTTGAATTGCAGGATGCTTAGTTATACATTGAAGTTGGGCAAATTTTAGAGTAACAGTGCTGTAGTGTTGTATGTAAGTGGTAACTCCTCCCTTTAACTTCAATTTAAGACACTTACCCGTGTTTTCCTACCTGAAGTTGACTAGAGATACATTAATGATCTAAGATTCCATTGCAGTGAACAGGGACTTGATTCAGGTACCCAACCACAAATCCTTGGTGCTATCTGAGGTGCTCTAGGGCAGCCAAGGCTTCTACATCTGGATGTCAGGTACCACCTACAGGAGACCCGTGTCCTTCTGAAATGGCACTTACAGGTCACCTGGGGTACCCAAAACCAGTAAGTAGGACTGCAAACTTATGAGTGATCTCACCAAAGTTATAGCAGTTAACAGTCAGCAGCTGAATCACTTTAGAGGCTCCATTTATTTACTAAGAGCTTAATTCAGTTGTCAACACTTAGACATGCAGAGCCATTTCCTGCTGCAAATAAGGGTGAAAAATTTTTCACCATGAAGACAGTCAAGGATAGAACAAGCTGCCCAGTTGTGCAGTCTCCATCCTTGGAGCCTATCAAGACCCAGCCGAGCAACCTGGTATGGGTTCAGTGCTGTGCCATTTGTGAGCAAGAGGCTGGTTGAGGAGACGCCCCAAACAACATCTCCTCCAGCCTGAGCGAGCCTGGGATCCTTGTTGGTAGCTGCTGCCTGGAAAGGTTTAAGTCTCCCATAGGTCTTGTGTCTTATCTCCCTGCTGCAGCAGATGTCACAGATATGCCATGCTCTAGACAAGCATGGTCACAAAATGGAAGAAAGATCCAGATCTCCAACTACAGTAACAGGAATTTAGACAAGTGCACTTAAAAGTACACTTGCATTTTTGGACACTGAAGGAACATTAATCTTGAGCACCCTTGGATTACTTCATTATTATTACTAAGAAAAATATTATAGGAACAAAGCTGCTCTTACCATGCTTAATCAATTCAACTGAACATTGACACTGCATATTAATAATCTTTTTTTCCTGTGAATTAAAACTGATACTGCTAAAGTCCATCTTTTTACAGATTGGAACAGTGCAAACAACAGTTGGGTAAACAAAACATCCAGTAAGCTCACAGACTGTTATACATTATAGAAATACCAGATTCTGTAGTCTTTTTTACAGTAGATAGATACTTAGTCCACTTGAAAAACTGTTCTAAATTAAAGGGCACTGCACAGTGAAGACAATATGGACATAAACATGAATCCAATACTGAAGGTGTTCTCCCCTACTTTCATCCAGTTCTCTTCAAAAGCAATAATAATAATTAATTACTTCCTTCATAATTGTACATAATAGATACATTCTGCAGCGTATGCTTGTATATAAATTTCATTAACACATTCACAGAGTTAGAGAGACACAAACAGGATAAGGAAGATGAAGTATAAACAATCTCTGATGATCACTAATACATTCTTAAAAGCTTTGCCCCTGCTCACATCAACTGAAATCAATAAAGTCTGCCCACTGACTGCAGTAAACTTTGAAATTTCCAAGTAACACATATTATTTTCATTTCCAGTAATTCTCCACAGAACAAACTGCATATATTTAGACTAACAGCAATGCTATTGAAGACTTTGGCAAGATATGAATACACATTTGTACATACCTTGAAACCAGGACTTCCTGGTAATCCATCTTTCCCACTTCTGCCAGGGTCTCCCTGTGGCAACGGTTAACAGTCATCAGAAGGTGAATTAAAAAGCAAAAGTTAAAGGCAAATTGTCTTCACAAAACTTACCGATCGCCCAGGCATTCCTGGAAAACCTGTATCACCTTTCTCTCCTTTTGAACCCTGAGAAATATAGTAAACAAAAAGTAAGTAGTGCTCAATGTTTATGCTGCAAATTCAGTGTATTTAACCTACAAGTCATGTAGGTTATTTCTTATTTTGAAAATGTATGGAAGATTTGTTTCTTTCTTAACACAGGTAGTGGTCAATTAATAACTATCCCATTACGGAAATGTAAATATGCTCTAAAATACAGAAATGTGAACACAGACCCTCTTTCAAATTGCTTAAAACTCTAGACCATTAAATACATGAAGAAAATATAAGGATAGATGAAAATGTAACTCTTAACACTATGTGACCAAAATAAGCTCTCTGAAATATAAATACTTACATACAAGCACACACTGCTTTATACAAATTACAGATTAAAACATCTCTCTTCCAGGCCACTGTCAGTCTCACTCCATTCATGTGACCCTCTCCTCACTCCCCTTACTCCTCTCCCTCTCTCTCCTTTGGTTATATGGTTCATGTACATTTCTATGTATTAAAAAGTATAAACTTCTTTGCAATGTAATTATTACATATACCCCATATTAAAGGCATAGACATATTTGCAAAAAAATATTTATAAGCATTTTGTGTTATGATAAAATGAATTACAACAATCGAAAAATAGATCCATTAACAGGAGGATGAAGAGAGTTCTCAAAATATCCAAATAAGCAGAGCATGAGTTTAACATGACTTGATGACACCAAGCTGTGTGGGTTGGTT